TGTTAATCGCTTCTCGTTACCCCACGTATACTACACGACGCACGATGAAGGCCAAAATCGGGCCGATCACCAAATCAGTCGCACGACTCAAAAATCGTCTCAAAATGGACCAAAGATCGCACAGTGTGAGCCCAGCATTAGAGCAGCAATGTTTGTTCGCTCAGAGAAAGGAAAAAAAAGGCTGCAAAAGCACAGGGAGGAATGGGAAAAGGGAAACACCTGGCTGGAAAAGGTCACCATAACACCTATAAAGCGCACTGCACTGTGTGCCGGCGCACTTTTTCCATAGGCATGCTTCTAATGGTGGGCACATGAAGAACATGAGGGGCGTGAAAGCTCGGGGAACCCTTAACCAATTTCTTGTCCACCAGGCCACGGCAGAAGCAGATATGGTATGTAAACACTGGTTTGTTTTTTAAACCCTCTGGTTAAGGTTAAAATGGGCATGTGCAGTGAATATCAGCGCTATGTGGCCAGAAGTGTGATAATATAATTTATTTTGTGTAATAAACAACTCCAAGGATAGATGATTACAACAAATAGATCACTAATACATAAAAGTAATACATAGATGAATAATGATGATGAGTTATGATGCGTAATCATGGGAACAAGTGGGTTTACAAACAGGAGCAGCTGATTAGCTTTAGAAAAGCTGAAATAATACCTCAACTGAAGCCAATTATACTAAATGCACTAAATGTGCACTGTTACAAGAATATTTTTCTTTCTATTGCTTTCTATTAATTTATATAATTTTAAGTTAAGCAGGACAGAGTTCTTTTAAAGAAAGATTTACTTATATTCTCAAAAGTTAAGCATGACAGGCTTCTGTTTAAGAAAGAGACCTGTTTTATTGTGTTAATGTTGTCATTTTGAGCTAAAAATAAATGGCTAAATGATCATTTGTTTCCCATATGGTCATATCACAAAGAATATGCATCTGCTTAAATCAAATTCAAGTCAAATGGTTAAAAAATAATTTCACACACACAAAAAAGAGCTACCACACTGGGAAGGGTGAAGACAACTAGGTTGCCCGGCCCTGGCCACGAGGTGTCCCTTATTTATTTTTCAGGGAGTTGGCAACCCTATCTCTGACCCATGTATTGATGTGTAAGACTCACAGGCTGGTACCCCAAGGTCGAAAATACCACAGAGACGAGACCACTTCCTTACTCCCATCCTCCCTTCCTTATCTTTTATAAAAGAGCTTGTTAAAAAGCCAGGTGGTTTGTTTCAGAATTCACTAATGAAAGAACTCTGTATTCTATGTCTAGGAGTGTATTTTGCTGGGATGATCATAAATTGTAGCTGAACTGATAAACTACACAAAGGATACTTCTTTGCTCACAAGGAAGGAAGACGTTTCCTTATTTGGTCTGTACCGGTTTGAACTGAGAATCTGCTGACACACGAACCTTTTTCATCTATATAAGCTGTTGTATGATAAATAAACCTTTGAGTCGATTTGGGAAGGCAACCTGAAGCAGTCTGTGTTTCCTTGTTCTCCCAAGCTGCTCCCGACGTCATAACTAACCCAGCTGAGCGGCATACCTGAGTGTTACTTTGAATAATTAGGAATCTTATAAGGAAAGGACAAAACTCTGCTTATCGGTGCTCACGCCTTGGAGGGAAACCGGGACGGAGATTTTCTCTTCAATATATAATATATATATATATATATATATATATAATATATATATATATAATATATAATATATATATATAATATATATATAATATATATATACATATATAATATATATATACATATATATATATATATATATATATATATATATATATATATATATATACATATACATATACATATATATATATATATATATATATATATATATATAACAACACCCAGCACGCCCCTGCGGGCGGTTTATCCTTCAAGCTCGGGTCCTCTACCAGAGGCCTGGGAGCTTGAGGGTCCTGCGCAGTATCTTAGCTGTTCCCAGGACTGCGCTCTTCTGGACAGAGATCTCCGATGTTATTCCCGGGATCTGCTGGAGCCACTCGCCTAGCTTGGGAGTCACCGCACCTAGTGCTCCGATTACCACGGGGACCACCGTTACCTTCACCCTCCACATCCTCTCGAGCTCTTCTCTGAGCCCTTGGTATTTCTCCAGCTTCTCGTGTTCCTTCTTCCTGATATTGCTGTCATTCGGAACCGCTACATCGATCACTACGGCCGTCTTCTTCTGTTTGTCTACCACCACTATGTCCGGTTGGTTAGCCACCACCATTTTGTCCGTCTGTATCTGGAAGTCCCACAGGATCTTAGCTCGGTCATTCTCCACCACCCTTGGGGGCATCTCCCATTTTGACCTCGGGACTTCCAGGTTATACTCGGCACAGATGTTCCTGTACACTATGCCGGCCACTTGGTTATGGCGTTCCATGTATGCCTTGCCTGCTAGCATCTTGCACCCTGCTGTTATGTGCTGGATTGTCTCTGGGGCATCTTTACACAGTCTGCACCTGGGGTCTTGCCTGGTGTGATAGACCCCAGCCTCTATGGATCTTGTACTCAGAGCTTGTTCTTGTGCTGCCATGATTAGTGCCTCTGTGCTGTCTTTCAGTCCAGCTTTGTCCAGCCACTGGTAGGATTTCTGGATATCAGCCACCTCCTCTATCTGCCGGTGGTACATACCGTGCAAGGGCCTGTCCTTCCATGATGGTTCCTCGTCTCCCTCCTCTTTCTTGGGTTTCTGCTGCCTGAGGTATTCACTGAGCACTCGGTCAGTTGGGGCCATCTTCCCAATGTATTCTTGGATGTTCCTTGTCTCATCCTGGACTGTGGTGCTGACACTCACCAGTCCCCGGCCCCCTTCCTTCCGCTTAGCGTACAGCCTCAGGGTGCTGGACTTGGGGTGAAACCCTCCATGCATGGTAAGGAGCTTTCTTGTCTTTATGTCAGTGGCTTCTATCTCCTCCTTTGGCCAGCCTATTACCCCAGCAGGGTACCTGATCACAGGTACGTGTTGATGGCCCGGATCTTGTTCTTACCATTCAGCTGACTCCTCAGGACTTGCCTGACCCTCTGCAGGTACTTGGTGGTTGCAGCTTTTCTAGCGGCCTCTTCATGGTTCCCATTCACCTGTGGGATCCCCAGGTACTTGTAACTGTCCTCTATGTCTGCAATGTTGCCTTCTGGTAGTTCAATCCCCTCAGTTCTGACTACCTTCCCTCTCTTTGTTACCATCCGACTACACTTCTCCAGTCCGAACGACATTCCAATGTCATTGCTGTATAGCCTGGTAGTATGGATCAGTGAATCGATGTCTCGTTCACTCTTGGCATACAGCTTGATGTCATCCATGTACAGGAGGTGGCTGACAACTGCTCCGTTCCGTAGTCGGTATCCGTAGCCAGTCTTGTTAATGATCTCACTGAGGGGGTTCAGGCCTATGCAGAACAGCAGTGGGGACAGAGCATCTCCTTGGTAGATCCCGCACTTGATGGTGACTTGTGCTATGGGCTTGGAGTTGGCCTCTAGTGTTGTACGCCACATCCCCATTGAGTTTCTGATGAAGGCTCTTAGGGTCCTGTTGATCTTGTACAATTCTAGGCATTCCAGTATCCAGCTGTGGGGCATTGAGTCATAGGCCTTCTTGTAATCAATCCAGGCAGTGCACAGGTTGGTCAGTCTGGTCTTGCAATCTCGGCTGACTGTTCTGTCTACCAGTAGCTGGTGTTTTGCGCCTCTGGTATTCTTGCCAATTCCTTTCTGTGTCCTGCTCATGTATTGACCCATGCATGTGCCTGTTCATCTTAGCCGATATGATGCCTGACAGGAGCTTCCATGTAGTACTGAGGCAGGTTATTGGTCGGTAGTTGGAGGGGACCGGTCCCTTCTTGGGGTCCTTGGGGATCAGGACTGTCCGACCTTCGGTTATTTATATATATATATATATATATATATATATAATATATATATAATATATATATATATATATAATATATATAATATATATATATATATATATATATATAATATATATATATATTATATATATGTATATATATATGTATATATAATATATATATATATATATATATATATATGTATATATAAATAAATGTTTAAAAAAAGTCACACCAGACACAATTAACACAAGCAATTTTAATATCTTTTGAAAAAACAACAACAAAAAAGCACAAAACTGTGAAAACATAGAGAAATGTACACCTTTAAATTACACAAGCTCTTATAAACAAAATAAAGTCTCTTTCTATATTTACATCAGCAGGGGTTAACGACAGGTGACTCCTCATCACGTCTCACTAAAATAGGATAAACATTTTAAACATGTCATTGATATCCATCTCTGTACACAAAAGCCAGCATCCTTACAACGAGCCCCAACCCCAAGGAGGTCTGCCACTTTGATTTGTCAACTTTGCAGTCAGCCAATGAAGGATTGAGCCAGTCGCACAAACTTTATGTTCAGTCAACAAGGTCACTGAATGATGAGAACAAAGGCACCAAAATTATCCTTGGGTCTAAAAGTTAAATTATCCTTGGGTCTTGCTACTTCCTGGCATGTTTCCAGGAAGTAGCAAGTCTATTTCGAGCTTTAGTTTATTCAGTGGATCAAAGAATAGAGCTGCTACATTTATAACGCATTCTATTCTACTCATCTGTTAAAAAATCTTTACTAACCTTTACTACTGCTACTTAAAAAGTTAAGGGTTTAAGGCAGCGGTCCCCAACCCCCGGGCCTCGGACCGGTACCGGTCCGTGAGTCGTTTGGTACCGGGCCGCGAGAGTTGAGGCTCAGGTGTGAAATGTATGGTTTTCAGGGTTTTTAATCGGTTTACAGCGTTATTTTGTCATCGTTTTTATCGTTAGCTCAGTTTTCCTGGGTCTTTTCACGTGTGTTATGAATAAATCTTCTTTTTTTCGGTAATGGTACTAGTTTTATTTTGTTGTATTTATCCGCGACACCTTAAAGGCCGGTCCGTGAAAATATTGTCGGGCATAAACCGGTCCGTGGCGCAAAAAAGGTTGGAGACCGCTGGTATAAGGTATTAAAAAAAAAAAAAAAAGACAGATTTGTCTTCAGTCTGTTGATTTAGGAATAGAGGGAGTATGCAAAGCTGCTACTGTTAGCATTTCTCCAAAAGCAAGTCAGTCCACATGCTTTCACATTAAAAGACCCAAATTACTAGCATTACAAAGGAAATAAGTTTGGGGTATGGCCACACTGATTGACATGAAGCCACTTAATTCAAAGTTTTGACACAAAGCATGTGATGACATGATACGCGTAACGGGAAATGATAAAAGCTTGCCTTTATGCGTTTGTGTAGGCGAGGTTTTACTGGAGAATAGGCTAATTTACAACGGGGTGAGTATGACATTTACTTTTTCATTCCCCCATTCACACACTCCCTCACTAAACCATGTTTGTTTCTTTTATCCTTTTAACTTAAGTATATAACAAATGGTATACCATAGATGTGATCTATGGTACAGCCTGACATGTGGAAGTCTGTCCTTCCATTTTGGTGAGTGTTCCTAGTATTTTTTTGTCTTCTGCACGAATTGGCATTGTTTTTTGTTTTTTGTTTTTTGTTTTTTTGTTTTTTTTTGGGGGGGGGGTTGCCTAAAAAAACCTAATTGGCAGTGTTAAGCAGTCAGTTACACCTGTCCATATTTGTAACTTGCTAGCCAAGCTTGCCAGCATTAGCTAATTACTAATTTAAAAGAAATAACATGGCATCAGTCACAAGTGCAAAACAAATGGGTAAAGTCCCAGTCCATCTTTTACATGCAGACTAACTGCAAAAAACCTAGTTTTGCTTTTTCAGCATGTTAAACTTGCTAAAGAATACACACTAGTAAGTGCTTACGAGGAGTAAATGTTACTAAGGACGCAGGGATGATTATGGTGTCTGGAGTTCTCATTGCTAAATCTACCTTCCTTTTGCTTTGGGTAATATTATATATAAATTTTTATAGATAAACATTTGTTCCCATCATAAGGAAATGGGGGTTTTGTACCAATAAACAACAGCTCTCTCTCCAATCTGAGGCACAGGCTGTGTCCAAAACCACTCCCTAATTACTCTATACTGCACTCTCAGTTTACATCACACACACACACACACATATGTGTATGAGTGTGTGTTAAATGGCATTGCACTACTCAACAATGCAAAATGAAGGTCAGTTGTCCAAAAACCTGCTGCTGACTGCTGTGTATAACAGATCTAAGGCAGGAGAGAAGCAGTGATTAGGGACACAGCCTCACAGTTTTGGGGATGATCTGCCTCTCTGTTACAGGAACAGGAACGTAAAAGATGATGAAAGGAATACTTTAGCCTTTTTAGATGAAATTGACAAACATTTTTAAAGATTAAAAAAAAGCATAGTGATAATAATGATAATAATAATAATAATGCTGCGAGAGGCTGCATCTCAGAAGAAAAACACAGCAGACATTTGGATACACAGATACGAGGTGTTCAACACGACATCCAGTAAACATGCAAAGAAGCAAACAGAGGTATAAAAAAATAGGATAGGCTGAAGTTAACCCACCATGCTGTGGAGAGGGCACTGATGGACACACGATGACAGCAGCATGGCTCAAACTAACAGTGAGATGTGGGAGGATGATGGTGAGGTTGCAGTGTTGATTAATTGTACGTTACTTTTGGGCAACAAGGCCTGTCCGACCAGAAAAAGACTTTTGAAAAAAGCACGTCCTGAACTACCCTGAATGAAGTCCTGCTTTATCAGCTCAAAGCTAGCTTTGCTTTTGGCTGGTGCTATATAAATCTATACACAGAAAAGATTGTCGTATATATATTTATATATGGCATGTCACTATTCTGGGATGCCCTTCCACTCCATACATAGAAAGCCAGAGATGGGAGGGCCCTGTGCACAACAGAGCGGCAGACATGACAATGGATTAGTTCAGATTCAGTATATAAGGAGAATCCTGTGGAAAGGTGAGTTGCAAAGTGACTTGTAGATCGGCAACAACTGCCAATTGGATGTGTAGAAAGGCTGATAGCTCAGACTGAACATGGATCATGCAAATTTGGGGAGAAGGATTGTTGAGATAAACCTTTAATGCTAACTCTCCAACTGGTGCAAATGCAGAATAAGAGTGTGCCAAACACAATCTGTGCTTTTTGTCGTTAGCTAGACTAAGTCAGAGAGAGAGAGTTAGCACTCTCAACGCTCACTGCACAGACTCAGGGAAGGTAGCAGCAGCGTCTGCTGGCCAGATGACTGAATCTCTCCCCCTGACATGTTAATACTGCTGCTGCCCTACCTGCTGTTTCAGCCCCCTGCAGGCTGTTTACCCTTTACTTTTAGTGCCTCACATTTGTGTGCAGTGATGAGCTTAAAGACTGAACATTTCTAACATAAAGCCTGAGTTACAAACGCACGCACATTTAAGTGGCAGTGTGCATATAGGATATATTTTTTTCCGTCTTGAACCATCCTATGGCCCGAGGCAACTGTTACTGAATATGACCATTATTTTTTTAATCTCGTTAAGCACACAGTACTAAAACTGCTGAAATGCACCTTTAATCACCAAATTATTTTATCCCTCCAGTTTGATTTGTGGTGTAACTTAAATAGGATGTGTGGCAACAGTAGTAATAACCACTCTTCTCCAGCAGGTGGCAAAGCTGACATACTGAACCCCAGAGTGGCTGATCCTCAGCTGTCTGACAGGAGGAAACAGGTACTCTGCTGAACTTTTAATCAATCTGCTTTAATTCCAGTCCCTGTGGGGGCATTTTGTTTGCCATAAGTCAACATGGGGAGAAAACAAGAAGCAGAAGGGATTAAATGTTAAACCTTCATAAATATAACTCCAAAGTTTTGACACAAAGCATGTGATGACATGATACGTGTAACGGGAAATGATAAAAGCTTGCCTTTATGTGTTTGTGTAGGCGAGGTTTTACTGGAGAATAGGCTAATTTACAACGGGGTGAGTATGACATTTACTTTTTTATTCCCCCATTCACACACTCCCTCACCATTTCTTTAGTTCATCCTCCATTCCTCCTCTCTGACTGTCATTCATCAAAGAGCAACCCGCCCACCTCAGCTACCCTCCCCTCTCATCCTATCCCTCATCTTTAATTTTCCTTTTCCTGGCTCCTCTACCAGTTGCCTTTCTTTAGTCCGTTAGGAGCACCAGTTCCCCCTCACTCCTCTCTCCCCCATCACTTTCCTCTCCTTCGCTGTATGGCGGTCGCTCCCTCTTGCGTTCCCGCTCTCTCTCCCTAGGCAGAGAGGTGGGTGTGGTCTGTCCCTCAGCTCTGCGAGGGATGGGCGGGACTTGCGGCAGGTAATGCTCCAGTAGCGCGGGGTGAAAAGGCATGGTAGCGACAGAGACCGAGCTGCTACCCCCCGGGTACTGGCCATCACTGTGGGGGTAATGGATCTGCTGTGGCTCCGTTTGACTGCAAAGACAGGAAGTGACACGTATATTCAGATATTCTGAGGCATTTATTGTCAATGAAAAAGTTAATCAAGGGCTTTAAAATGCTGATATCCGGTTGTTCAGTCTGACGTCACTAGCCGTGTCTGGACCTAAACTCCGCTGCAGGTCCATATATCAAACGATCACTATGGCATTACTGAGAGTTGAAAAACTGTCTAAAGTCTTTCATCTTTAATAAAATGATCAGCGTTCTGCTCTACCAGGTGTAACAATTAAGTTTAACATCCAGGCATCCATGAAAACGGAATTTATGACATTTAACGGAGTTAGAAGTTAGCAGGGAGTTAGCTTGCTAGCTTCTATCTAAATACAATATAGCATGTCCTGACTGCGGGGTTTTGGAAACAAATTAAAACGTACAGCTCTGTTATCACTTTCAGCATAAATGAAGACAGAAAACTAAACAGCAGTGACGTTTGTAGGGTTACTGAAGTTGGGCTAGCTGGTATATAATGATGTGCTACGTGACCGCTAGCGACACAGCTATGTTAGCATAATATAAACAAGCTAACTTTTTTTCCACTCGATAAAAGTTAACGTGAGTGTTCTCGGTGATCAGGAACAAATGTAATTGCATGGCAGGATGCTGAGATAATCCATCCACAATACGAGGTTAGTCATTCATATACTGCTGCATGGGCTGGGCTGTAGTTACATCCTAAGGTTTTAAAAACTGAGCTTAAATAAATGATTAGCGGTAATAAAAGCCGAGGGAGGTCAACAGTGATCACTGACTGTTTTAGGAGCTTTTTGAGATCAAATAGAAGAAAATACATAACATTAAACATGTTAACAACACAAAAGCCATATTAAACGCAGACTACTTTAGACCCGGAAGTAGGATTCGTCGCGTCATCACTGAACAACCGGATTGACACAGTATCCCTTAGGAAACGGTGGTTACTGGTGTTAGTGGCAGGTCTCTAGTCCTGTGTGAATGGGGCTTGGCAATCAGTTAGATAGTGATTGGCAGCAACCATTCACCAATCAGCTAAACATCAAAAAGTAGAGTGTTTAATTTATTAGCTAAAGCTAGATATTTGTGCTAATCCCCCTCCAAACCAAATATGTTTAGTGTTGTTTAGCTAAGAGTTAGCTTAGCTTTGGTTTTTTAGGTAGTGCTAAGCAGGCAGTATATATAAACACAGATTACAATATCATGAGAGCTGTAACACCAGAGTGTAAAATGCATATATTTTAAAACTGGACGTTACATTTTCACGTCTGTGTTGTTTGTATGCGTGTGTGTATGTTTTGCTGCCATGGCAGCCGATCTGTTTCAACATCACAAGCGCTGATTGGGTGAAGCGTCTGTAGTCACGCTTCATGGCAGTAAGTTGTTTTTTGTAATCTATGTTTTAATAAACCACCTTTAATGGTTTAAAAAATTTTGACAAATATCAGATCGTTGTTTTGGATCATCTCCGAGCGGGCAAGGCTCCCGGAGCGCTCCCGTTCGGCCATGCCGAATACTTGTCAACAGATCCTAAACCAGCAACCGAGTCTAAGGGTAAGTGCTCGAACAAGTCTGATCCGCAGCAACTCCACCTCTCCGTTTACAGGAGTTAAGGGTTCTGTTGCTGGTATCTTGGTGCGTGACACCACAGAGCACCTTTAAAGGTCCTGTTGGAGCCCAGGCCTCAACAGGTTAGAGCTGTTTTAACGCTAAAATGGTAAAACCCAATGGCACATTAGGCCGGTATTGTTCTCCTTCATAAGTATACGAGCCAGTCAGTCTACCAGTGTCTTCAATATGAAAGAAACAGGATTGAAGCTTTAGGCCAGTGTGACACCCTGATATTGATGTTTTGTTTCTATAAAGAGCCTAATAGAGGCTACATGTGCTAAAGCAAAGACAAACAAGAGTGAAACAGAAAAGCACTCCAAAACAACCACTGTTAACATTTCCAGCCTCCAACTCCTCCAGCTTAACTAGAAGGAGTTAGAGGGACCAATAGAGAGGGATTCTATTCATTGTCGAGGACACAGTGAACAGCCCAGCTGCAGTTGCAGTACTCCACTTTTGTTTGTGTCTTCAAGAATAAAGGAGGATAAAAAGGGGGGGCTTTGAGAGCTGCAAGCATTGTCTCCAGTGTGTGGAGGTGCAGCACAAACTCTTGTCAGGGGATTGAATTGTCAGTGTTTTTCTGCCAGGGACAAATTCTTTCACAAGTTGTTTCTCAAAGCTGCTCAGACTCTACCTGTGCCCGTAGGTCCCTCTCTGTTCCTGCCGGCGGCTCTTCATCATGGCCTTGTACTCGCCCACCCGCAGCCGCCGTCCCTCCACTATGCAGGTCCGTTTGGGTCGGGGTTTGTATTTGTAATCGGGGTAGCGCTCCAGATGCTGCCTGCTCAGCCTCGCCTGCTCTTCGTAGTAAGGCTGCTTCTCCTGGTTAGACATGGCTTTCCACCGCGAGCCTACAGACAAAGACGCATCAACACAAAGGAGTGAGTTCATGTTCTCCAGCAGCAGAAGCTGTCATGGCTCGCCATGTTTCATTTCTTGTGGGGTTTTTGAAGCATTTGTCCCGTGTTTTATGTGCTACTCTGCCTGCATCTACATGTTGTCTTACTTTGGTAATTATCTTTCCTTGCACACCTTTTGTTATTTTACTTCCTTTTTGTCTCCCCTCCTTTGTAATCATCAGCCCTGCCCTCATTGTCCCACCTGTTCCCAATTAGATCCCTGTTTATTTATCCCGTCTCACCTTCAGTCTTTTTGTCACTCTTTCAGTTTTTCCATCTGTTTACTCTCCTGGATTCCCGTTTCTCGATTAACCCAACCTTGGAGTTTTCTTCCCCCTCATTGTTCTCTGCTGTAAGTTTAAGTAAGCTGCTGAAAGCTTGCCCTTTTGTTTGGTATCCGGTTTGCATTGTCCTTCATTCGGATCCTCCTTTTGTTAATCCATTAACAGAATGGTTATGCAAGAGAGGAAGCTTAAAATGCTTGTCGGGCCCACGTGGTTTCATTTTTGTTCTCATTCATTCAGATTTCGACAAAAAGTTTCAAGCAGATTTTATTCATTTTTTATGCACCTTTAAACTCCCATCAACATTCACTTATCTTAGATGATAACTCTTTTCCTATTTGAGTCTTCCCAAGGACGCTGCTACAGTGTTAACATCAAAATATAACCAAAAAGAGGCTGCAGTAGCCCTCCTTCTGGATATTAGAAAAAATATCTCTTAATTATGAGGTTTAGTTATCGGGGTTTTACAGTCCTACCTAAATACAGCAATTTTCTTTTTTGGTTCGTCACAGTGGGGGACATTAGTGCCACTATTTTTAAGTCTTTCTTAAGAAGAGAAAGTAAAATTGGCGAAAGATTCAGGCCGTTAATTCTGGTACCTCTGCAGTCTAATTCATCACTGGTGATGAGCCCAACACTAACATCAGACTACCAGAATGTGTCATTTTTGCCTTTATTACTTTATTCTCCCAATTATTGGCAATAAAGTGAAAAAGAAATTTACTCTAACTGACACGTTCACATTTTTGGGCCATCACCCAAAATAAAGGGTTAGTCTATGCTGATGACCTAGACTCAGACGTCATACACGTGTTCCTTTACATTTTGGAAAGTTTATTTATCACTGCATTTACTGGTAACTCTCAAAGGATTACCTCAAGACTGAAGAAAACCTAAAAAGCTGCTGATTCCCCAGCAAGTTCCAAAGAATCTCATCTTTCCTTTCTAACCATTCTTTCACTTCATTTCTAAAAATATGCGTTTGTGTTCAGACTTGACTTAGTCATGCCCCTAATTTTTAACACTGAAAGTTCCTGTTAAAATACTCTGAGTCTCTCTTTACAGAGAACATAAATCAAATTGTAGTGAATGGAGACTGCACTGATGCTGCCCTCAAAAAGATCCACACATCTAAATCTCATGATATGCAAAGCCCCGTTTCTTCGTGTTTTCTTTCCCGTTTCGTTTTTTAACTAACTATCTCGATCACGCTCTCTCACATTCACTGATATAAAGCGCCTTGAGACGACTTTTGTTGTGATTTGGCACTATATAAATAAAATTGAATTGAATCTGACTGGTTAAAGCTAACTCATAGTATATGGTGATAGGCAGAATTACCTATTAGTTTCTGTGCCACAAACTACCTGATGCTTCCATAAAGGTTATTCAAAAGCAAACACTTTGAAATAATTCAAGGTCAAAAAGCAGCATGTTTAGGGTTGTGGTCAAAACTGTGTTTTTTGCATTGAAAGATAAGTATTAGGCAAGTAATCAGTACTATGTATTTAAGCAAATTAGTGGTTTTTATGTGTGTCTGTGTGAAAGATAGACACACAAACTCTCTACAATACAAAGGAATGTAAATGTTTGTTTGAGGGAAAGGGATTCATCCCTGTGTGTGTGTGTGTGTGTGTGTGTGTGTGTGTGTGTGTGTGTGTGTGTGTGTGTGTGTGTGTGTGTGTGAAGAAGCAGGTGGGTCTTTACTGCCTCACATGTGCCAGGCAGGGTCTCAGAATAGAGACATAAACCCACCCCTAACCAGTGCTGCTCTCACCCAGGATCTTGCTGATGGAGGAGTTGTGCATGTCAGGGTAAGTTTGCAGGATCCTCCTGCGCTCGTCCTTGGCCCACACCATAAAGGCATTCATGGGTCTCTTTATGTGGCCTGAGGAGGGAGGCGGCCGTGCCTCAGCGTAGCCGCCTGGGACCGAAACGTTCAGGGTACCTACAGTAAACAAGGGTACAGGCTGGCTTGTAAATATGTTACAAATATATAGAGGAATAGCTATTTGTTTCTTGCTGTAAGTGGTGCATGTCTGAATATTAACCTTTTTTTCTTGCAACACTAAAATTGGTGAAAGTTTCTCTTCACCCACAAACATCCAATTTCATATGATTCACATTCTCCATCCTGACGTTTAAACCAAAGACAGGAGTTACTAAGCTTTACAAAGATAAGGTTATTACTTTGATGAAGCTAAATCTGAAGGTCTTGGATATTGTATTTTCATCTTTAAATGTCTGTGCCATATTCTGATGGCACATTAATAAAGCATGTTTGGAAGAAAACATTTCTGCTAATCGTGCTATTTCCCAGAAACAAACAACATTAAACAGGCTCTCCTGATTTAGCCAAGTGGTTGCTTTACCGAGATCAACATCTGAGTGACAGTAATGCCTTTGATTAGTATTTTTCCAATATGGAAGTAAGCTAATATTAGCTTGCATACATGAGCTTGCCTGGTTGCTTCTAGGCAATGCAGATGAGCATTTAGCTAGCTAGATTTTGACAGTGGCGCTTAGGGGAGCGATAAAACAGGTAATTTAATGGGCAGTATTGCAGACTATTAGCTTGGACAAAAGGGAGCCAGAATTCAAGTTAAAGTCACACTAGGTAATTAGCACCTTTTAGTGCTAAAATTAAAGTTAGCACTTGCTGTGTCGATTAGCTCTATAGTGTAATGATATAGGCATATGCCTAACATGTGGAAGGTTCCTGATTAGAGTTCAGAAGGAGACATTAATCTTTTAGAGTTTGCATCAGAGGTTACATTGGTGCAAAAAATCTGCCAAATCTAATATCTCTTGTGGTGACTCCTTGCAAATAAGCACAAAGTGCCTTGAGGTGTTTTGGTGCTATGTAAAAAACCTGAATTGACTTCAAAGAAACTTCTTCAGTGTTCACTTTGTGGCTTCTCTAGCGTTCTCATGCCTGCTAGCAATCTGTTAAATGGTAAATGGACTGGTTCATCTAGGGTTTGAGAGTAACGAAATTTCTATTCTCTGTATGTCCTGTACATGTGGCAGAATTGACAAATAAAGTTGACTTGACTTGACTTCTTCTATAACACCTTTCTACTCTACTTAAGCACTCAAACCACTTTACACAACATACCTCATTCACACATTCATACACATTTATACAAGCACTTTTTTAACTTAAACACTTTCTATGTAGCATTCACACACTTTCACACTCTGATGAACGCATCAAAAAGCAACTTAGGGTCCAGTGTCTTGCAGACTGGAGCAAAACTCCAACTTTCTGATTAGCAAATGACCTATTTTACCGTCCGAGCTAAAGCCACCCAATCTAATCTAGGTCAATCTAAACAGGTTATACTGCATGCTACTTCCATGGAGAAAAAAATGCTAATTTTAATAAAATTATATGACTCAATCAAATAAAATAAAATATTTGAATATAATGACAAAGATAAATGGATGGGTACCATAATGATATAATAAGCTATCAGGGCAGCGTAACAAATGTTGGTCTCATTACAACAACAACTTGGCAAAACACAGATAGGCATTAAACAGACTTTTTCAGGGATGCCTACCCTCAGAATCACTGCTGAGGTGGTCCTCAGTGGACGGCAGGCCATGTCTGTTCTCACCTCTCTCACTCTGAGACATCCTCTCATTGCGAGGAGAAACCTTAAAATCCTGCAGACATTAAAAGAACAAAAAGAAAAAACAAAGACATATGAACTCAGAAATGGTCTAAAGTCAGACAAATATTCACACACCAGCACAAAGAGACGATTTAAATTTGCACTGCAGTAAAAAAAAAAAAAAAAAGGTGACCTAATGTCGAAGAGGAGTGTTCATGGCACACGTGTTACACTGGAGTGCTATTTAAGGTAAAGACATGGCACGCTCACCATATCAGCCGCTGCTTAAATGCAGAGCTGTAAATGCAAAGACAGGAAATGACAACACTATGGAGGAGGAAGAATGGTATTTATTGTTGGAGGGAGGAAAGGTAAAGAAGACAAGGCAGGGACGGGAATGTGGCAACTCTGAATTTGCAAAACTACCACACCATCAGCGTATTATCTGTCGACCATTCCCCGCGCTGTAAAACGCTATTCATCCACATGCAGCGGTGTGAAGCGCAATACCAAAATAGGTCAGTCAACAGTATTGGTGTTAACACAGCCGCCAAGGCGAGATGGAGCAGGATAATGGAGGAGAGGAGGAGGAGGAGAAGGAGGAGAGCCACAGATTACAGTATTACTGTGGACAAAGAGACAGGGCAGGTGGCTCAGTCAATGCCACACTGAGGCCTTTGTGGTATTGTAAGGCTGCAACAGCTGTTGCTTAGGACGGAGCAGAGACCAAAGCTTTAGCCACCTTAAAGAACAAAAACGTAAGAACCCAATAGAAGACCATTTTCACAAGAAGCAAAACAAAATAAACAGCAGGTTCTCGAACAAAATATGCAATTTTGAGATAGTCTAGTAGCACTTACAAACAGCAGTTTACAGTTTACTCAGCTGACTTAAGCTGTAATAATGTGCTTCTGCATGTGGGTGCGGATCTATTGGATACTCAGGAGGAGCGCAGCACCATGTAACCCTAAACCAACCTCTAAATGTCGACCAGAGAAAGAGCAATACACCGTTTACATCAGGAGTCCATATATTTATTTTAATACAGCTAACGTAAACTGAGTGGTGTGATTAAGCACACAAACACAGTCAGTTCTGTACAACATTATGTGAAGCTGTGCTGGTTTAATTTCATAGATTTTAAATAAAAGATGGACGTCGGGTTGTGGAACTGGATAAATATATCAGCTACTTGTAACAAACAAAGAGAGGGACACACAGGTCTAAAGACCGATTGGCAACCTCCTGGCAACTTCCAGCAACCAGTGGTTATGAGGTGATCGCCAGCCTGCCTCGACTCAGGCGTTAGGCAGGTGGTCTGCGTTCTTAAAAAACTTCTGAATGCGAATGTTGCTGAAAGGTTAGCGTGTATAATATATATATATATATATGTATTTTTTAATCCACACTTATAAGCCAGTCAGAAGCGTTGGGAAAAATTATCCTACAGAATTTGTGATTTCAGTCCATAGTTTTATTTATTAGATGTTTATTTTGTAAATTACAAGTTCATTAATTATTTATTATTGACAGAAGTTGGTGGAGACATGCAGAACTAAAAGATAGCTAATATTTAGATTTCTATGACTATGACTATGGTTCTGTGGCAACACTGGAAAAAAACAACACACTATGACAAAGGAATATGTGGAAGGATATCACCAAAGCAACATTAATCTGCGACATGTTTTTACTGCCCCCGTGTGGCCAGAACGGGGGCAGGTCTATGATCTAGACCAGCGGTTCCCAACCTTTTTTGCGCCACGGACCGGTTTATGTCCTACAATATTTTCACGCACCGGGCTTTAAGGTATTGCGGATAAATACAACAAAATAAAACCAGTACCAGTACCAAAAAAAAGATTTATTCATAACACAGGGGGAAAAACCCAGGGAGTTAACGATATAAACTTTTTTTTTTTTAAAAAAACGATAAAAACCCTGAAAACCATAAATTTCACACCCGAGCCTCAACTCTCGCGGCCCGGTACCAAACGACTCACGGACCGGTCCGTGGCCCGGGGGTTGGAGACCGCTGATCTAGACTTCACAAAGGCAACCCATCCATAGGAAAACACTGGGATGGAAGCACTTTTGTAGCTAGCTAGCAGAGACAAATTTAAAAAATAATATTGAGTTGACTGCCCAGTACAAATTCATGTGGTCTCGGACAGACGAAAAAATGAAAACAAATTGCAAAATATACTTGGGTGGCCTTCAGGATACCTGGGTGGGCCCTAAGTAAAGTCTATGTGTGGGAAACACTGTAAAGTGATGTGAAGAATTCTCAGGTAAGAGACTGAGATAATGCTACGACACAAAACACGTATTAAGTTTCTTTGTGTGTGTTTTGTGCATTTGTAGGCTATATGCCACAGTGTTACTAGAGATAGCCTACAGTGAAACCTAACCTAAAAATGGCACAGTATGTACAATGGCAATTTCCAGAACGAAGTCCGTGTCTTAAAGTGGCTCGAACACACCGCTCTAACTGGAGTTTAAACATTAGCTCACCGGCTTTCCACCAACTTCTCTCTCCCGGTCCCTCTCCCGCCCCGCACTGCCGTGGCTCCTCAGGAGCTGCTGGGCATCGTGGATAGCCTGGGTGACCACGTCGCCGTCTCCCAGGAAACCTGCAGACAAAAACAAAGCACGAAGAGGAGAGCACAAAATGAGGACCAAGATAATTATGATGATGAAGGAAAAGAAAATGAGACAGAGGAAGGTAAAGTGTCAGTTCTCATCAGAAGACCTCCTCTAGAAACACATCACGGATCTTATGAACAGATGATGATTAGTTTCATATCCTGCTGCTGGAAATGACAGTTGAAGAATGCAATCATCCTCTTGTGGAAAAAGACGACTGCACAAAGTTTTAATTCATTTCAGCCACTTGCTCAGTATTTACTGTATTTTATACAAAATAGAGAATAACTGTTTATGAGTATCTGAGCGTCCTTTATTAATGCTTAGTTTGTCGCACTAAAGTCAAAAAAGTTATGTTCGTTGTGCTCAGTCTCCTTAAATCAACAGTGAATAGATCTACAGGAAATATGATGTGCTGCAGGTTAACGTCAAATGCTTTAATGCTTTACCATGCAAAGCAGTGTGACTGTGTGCAACTCACTGAGCGCAGATCGTGGTGGACTGTGGGAGATCTCTCTCTGGAGATCTCTGGGTCTGTATGCCCCCTGCAGCGCCAGTGATCCCAGCTCCAGGCTCTGTGGACTGGGTGTCTTCCCCAGCTCCAGACCCTTGGGCTTGGAGGTCAGGTTCAAGGGCTGACTTGCTTCCTAAACACACAGCAAGAGCAGATGAGCAGGGGTGGGGCTACTTCGACATATTCAGGTGAAACCGCAAAGGCCAAGGGTGTGCGTGTATTCCAGCTATGCACGGCACATTTGGCATGTCGGAGCAGATCTGTCACACCTTTGTAGTATTTTTTTTTGTCTTTTGTCTTCAAGTTATCCTCCTCCTCTCTTCCCTTTTGTTTATTTAAGCTATGTTGATCTATCCCTGCTTGAGAACCTGCCGTGCAAACACGAGTCGCACTACATTTACACACACACACAAGCACACACGCACGTCGAGAAAACACACACCTATGGCCACACACATTAAACCTTCAACAGAGGGTGTGGTGTATTCCTAAAGCTTTTCAGCCTCCCAAATACCAGAAAAGGATATTATTTGTTCGCTCCAGAAGACTTCACTTTCTTTAAGCTTCCTAAAACCACACACATGCAGAAGGTACGCACACCATACAGCAAGCAAACACAGCCATAATTCCCTGACTTCTCAGTAATGTGCTCATATAAAGAAGTGAGTTGGACAAGGTATGCACAATAAAGTGATACTGTACCTGTCGGAGGGAACCACTGCTTCTCTTCACGGGGGTGGGGTGAGTGTTTGACAGTAGCTGCATGGAGTAGTCCATAGCTGTGAAAGGTTAAAATTAAAAATAAATAAATGACCATTCTTAATGCATCGATTTAAGGGTTAAGAACGAACAGCAGTTTTAGACAGAACCAAGTTTAAAAGTAAAACTATTAGCATTACTATTATCATTAGCCTGTTAAAAAAATTGTTTAGTTACCATCCTAACGGACCAAGCAACATGCTAGCATTTTATGGGTAAAATTAGCTTCACTGTAAAGCCTGTTGCAGACACTGACAGCTGGAGCCACAACAGCCAAGCAGCCTTCCATGGCTGGGACTCATGCTCAGCTGGTGTAGTGCACTGTAAAGGCTTAGTGGTAAAATCCACGCAGTCATCAAAACATATGCACGGACCCTCGCCCTTGATGACCAAATTTATGTCACGTGGACCCATCAGACCCAAGCGGACCACAGCAGACGTGGAGAGTATACTCAGAGCTTAAGAAAAAAGGACATTAGCCTAATTTTGTTAAGCTCAGACACATGATCAATAGCATACTTGTAAAAACTAAAATGTTATGTGGCCTTTTTATGTAGCGCAGGTGTTTATTTCAGCTCTTCACCTCCATTAACTTGCACTCACTGAGGACTATCTAGGATGAAATGCAAAGACTCTAATCTGGCCCAGTGGACGGCTTTTGAAAATGTGAAGGAAGACATAGACTCTGGGCTTTTAACGGTATTTTCATAAGTTTTACAGCTTTTCCTATTGAAAAAAACCCACCCCATCCCAACACTGCCATACACGCCACACCAAAGTAATTAAAGTGGTTTCTTTGTCTTTGTTGGACATCCCTGTCCTACAGCCTTACATTCATTTTAGCATTTAAATGTTCACTTCCAGCATCATTAGCCATGAATCCACCATAATACGAAGGCAGTTTGTTTATACAGAATATCGAGTGCAGAGGATAAGGCAATATCACCTCTCCAATGGCAAATCTCAAACTATTGCCAAGATAAATTTGTGATATAGCATTTATTCAGCTAAGGTTGAATAATAACGTGAGTAAGTGATACAGTCATTCTGAGACAGTAGATGTTTTGTTACAGTTTGAGAATTAACATAATTTGCGCATGGCCAAGTGGGAGTTGCAGGGAATGTCCCCAAAATACAATGTCCAGTTGATACGTGAGGTTACATGCAAATGTCCAAACAAATAAAAGATCTGAGCAAAATGAAAGCAAAGGGCTCAAAGTTTCACTCCATGCATATTGTTTTTAAAAACGCTCTGGTTACTGCTGACCTCTTCTACACAGCCCAGCACTCCGACACATTTTACATTCATGTGTCAAAACATTCAGAGCCGCTCACGCACACGTGCGCTTCTCGATATAATGGCTATCCTTAAATTCCACCTACACTGTTTTAAAGACTGGCCTTGTGTCTTTAAGTTTGAAAAGATCCACAAGCACAGCTTTTAAGGCTGGTGAAAGCAAGCTTCTACAAAGCTGTGGCGTTCGAAGCCGTGGCCTCAATAGCCTGCTAACTGTACAAGCATACGTGTTTGAAAGGTACATTCAAGCACTGTTGCACTGGAGTCTCACGGATGCCTTTCTAGTTCCTATAAAATAGCCCCTGAGTTGAAGTACATAAACACTCAGGGATGGCAACTTATGGAGCTGTACTGATGGAGATATCTTTTCAGCACAAAGTTTCTGGCCTTCAAAGCTTGCAGTCATTGGTAAGTAGAGTGTTCATTCTTCCCACACAACAGGGTGCATAAGAAAAGACTTTGAATGAATTGACAAAACACAGTGTTCACTAAATCAAGGGAATCCTTGGAGGATTATTAGCAGGTCACAGCAGTATTTGAAGAAGAATGTAGTATACAGCATGACCTTATTGAGCCCTCCAGAAATACTTTGATTTGCTGGGAGTTTCTCTGACTAAAATGGACCATCAGTGTCAGTGTTGTGTTTATTACTCAGTAAAAGTAACGTATTACACATGATTCATTACTTTTTTTAACCCAAGGAATAAAGTAATGCATTACTCTGTGGAGGCAGAATGCCCTTCACACAGGTCAGCCCAGAGGTTGTTAAAGGACACTTCTCTGAAAGTTACTTTATACGGTTGCAAACATGTTTAAATATGAGTGATGGATTAAAGATTACATAATGTTAGAAAGAATATTACCTTGTTGTTGCCGTCACAACTTTCCAGTGTTTCAAAAGCCTGCCTGCCATTGCTAGAAATGTCTGCAGTGTTTGCCTGATATTCCTTAAAATTACGGATACAGAGCGGTGTTCCTAGATCCCACAGCCTGAGTCAACAACTCTGCCCCAACAAAGCAGCTCCGAGCTTTCTTTTAATGCTGCACTGCTGTCAGCCTGCATATGAAAAAATAAATAATAATAAAACTGAAACCTTTCCACTTGATTACTCACTCGGCTTGCAGGGGATCGGTTGCAGTGGCAAGGTCATCTGGGGGTCAGAGTTGACCTGGAGGGGTTGGGTGGTGGGGTGGAAAGCTGGAATCATCACGTAGGGCATGTTCACCTGCTGGGACAGAGCAGGACACGTGCACGTTACAGACAAGCCCCATCCGTCTCACACATTCATTTATTAATCTCCCACTCTGCTCCTTGAAGTGATTCAGGAAGATGTGCGAAAGGTCGTGAGAGGAGCTGACCTGGATCTGCTGCTGAAGCAGGTTGATCTTGTGCTGCTGCTGGATGAGCTGCTGCTGCTGCTTGGCGATCTGAGACACAGAAAAACGAGACACACAACAAGTGAGCGCTAGCCTGTATAAATTCTAACGATCAGCCATGACGCACGCATGCGGCGGTTCATTTATTCCCAGAAAAAAGCTGGCGAGTGCGTGCGGTGTTCTCCTTCTGTGGACTTGTGTGAAAAAAGGCACATTAGACAAAGATCTTTTTTCAATTTCGGCCATCTAATTTGCCTAGTGTTTGTATGGAGCAAGAACACAAGCACCAGTGCACACAGGGGCTTTTCGTCTGTTTGGTCAGAAAGGCCCTTTATATTCTTTATCAAGATAATACACAGCAGAGAGACAGAAATTTGTTTTGAGATGTCCACATGTTTGCATGTTCTGTTGAACTGGGTGAGTGATGCAAAGATCTGGTAGAGATACCTGTTCTTGCTGTTGCCGAGCCAGCTCCATCTGCTGCTGCTGTTTCTCCAGCAACAGGGCGGCCATGTTTCTCTGCTCAGAGTGGGCTCCCAGGAGCTGCTCCCTCAGACCACTCAGCTGGTTGATCATCATCAACAGCTGGAGCTCCTTCTCTGCCAGAGATTCGGGGGTACCTGGTGGGAGGAGTGGGAGGCTTTGTGTTTTTATGCAGGATAAGGCCGTTTTTTTTTTTATTCCTTCTTATTCCGTTTTTGCTTTAGTAATGTCTCCAACTATCACCATTATTATACCGGAGGGATAAAAAAAATACTATTCTCTTCTTGTTCTTACAGTTTTGTTATATAACCTCTCATGTTTTCCCATTTTTCCCACAAAATTTCTCAAAACATGAAGCTTTTCTTCTCTTTATAAAAGAAAAATCATATTTTTATGGTGAATAATATTTTTCAGTTTTACAAAAAGATATTTTTGCTTTTATTAAATTAAATTTCACAAAATACAAAACTTTTGTCATTTTTATGAGACTGAGAAAAATTTCTTGTAATTACCTAAAAAGGTAATTTTTTCCTCCACAAAACAATATTTTCAGCAAAGTTTTTAATGTTAAACTTTCCCTCTTTTAAAAACATCTTGTTATAATAACAAACTTCTCAATCTCACAAAAACCTTTCTAACTTTCACAGGATCATTTTCAAATGTAATATCTTGTCTTTTATCTCCTCACACCCTCCGTGGGTCAAGTTTCACACATTCAGAAAAACCAAAATCTCAAAGAAAAAAACCTGAAGCTTCTTCGTAACATGTTGCTTTATGTTTCCTATATTTCAAAATCAATTGCTATCTTGTAATCTCATAACTGCTAGAAAAGGATGTTGAAAGGGTTGAAACTGATAAGCATCTTTTTTCCCCATTTTGCAGAAACAAGCTGTTATACCAAACTGCTTAGATCAGAAACTGTAGATAATGTTTGCAGGACAGACGCGTCCTCACTATGAAAATGAATCTTTCATCGCTGCCAAAACTACAAAGCCAATTCCAAAAATGTGTCAAATGTAAATCTCATAAACTTGTCTTTTATTCACTGTAGAGACACATTAAATGTCTGAGCTGAGAAACTGTAAAACTTCAAAATATCTCACATCTCAAAAAAAAGTTGGGATGGGAGCACCAAAGCTGGGGAAGCACTTTCCAGTTAGGTTAACTGGCAGGAGGTCAGTAACATGACTGGTTATACAAGGAGCATCTCAGAGATTCCAAGAAGTACATCAGAGGATAACAAATCTGTAAAAAAACTGCAGCTACAGATTTCAGAATAATGTTTCTGAATGCAAAGTCAGAAAGATTATAAATATACATAATATCATTAAACGATTCAGCGATTCTGGAGGATTCTCTGTGTACAAGAGACAAGGCAGGAGGCCACCTCTGAATGCTCGTCTATCTTCGGGCCTTCTGAAGCTGGACTGAAGCAAAGCGCAAAACTGTTGTTAGATCAGACAAATCGAAATTCTGAAAATCACAAATGCCACTTCCTCTGGTCTAAAAATGAGAAGGACCATCCAGCTTGTTATGAGCAAGCAGTTGAAAAGTTTGCATCCCTGATGGCACAGAGGTGAATTTATCAGTTTGCACATCTGGAGAGGCACAACTAATGCCTCAAGGTGAAACAAAAAACGCTGAAAAGAAGACCCAGGACTGCCGAGCAGCTAGAGTCTGCTATCTCTCTGCTCAGTTCTACCAAGTGGTAAACATGGTGTGGCAAATGTGGGTTTATGATAATCATTACATTCATGTGCAAACAAATACTAAAAAAAGGGATCAAATAATTCAGTGAAATGATTGAGATAACAGCAGCACACATGTGCTGTGAGTGTGGTTATATCAGTGAGACGGGCACAGTGACAGCCAGCACTGGATTTCACTGGTGTGTGTGTGTGTTATCACTGTACATATGAAAAATATTACATTGTTAACCCCAGAACACACACACGAGTTTTGTAACGCCATCACTACACTTTGTCCTTAATGTAAATATGTAAGAAAAATTTCCCCTTGTGGGACAATTAAAGGATTATTCTATTGTATTCTATTCTATTCACTTTCGCATGGGTGAAAATTTAGGGTTAATTAAGCCTTCACACACACACTGGTTATGTTTTACCTTTAAAAAGAGGTAGAAGAAGAAATATCTACATATCTTCCATCTAAATGTCAAACCAATGGTTTGCCACATGCTGCTGTATGCACCAAGCTGTTATATATGATGCTTTTAAATTGATAAAACAAATGAGAAATAGAATAGAAAAGCTGTAATTCATACGGTCTAATTGTATATGTACAACATTTGTAGTGTTTGAAACTAACCTTTCAGCTGTCCTGACCCCACTGTGCTTTTATCCAGGAGTTTGTCCTTCCAGTCAGCATTCAGCAGCTTCTCAATGGTAGGCATCACTGTTAAGAGAACACTAATGGTACTCAGCGGGACCGCAGTGGGCAGCAGTAGATGGCATGAAAAATATATTCTGTCAAATAAAATACATCTAACACTAAACTACTTTCTGAGCCTCTCTTCTGCTTTTCTAATGGCATTGATTGAAGAAGATGTTTGAGGTGTCGAAGGGCAGAGGTTGTTTGTGCATCAGGGAGAAGTTCTGAGTGTTTGAGTGGATCAATATTTGGACAGAGAACAATTCAAGGTCAGTGACTGGAGCAAATTTGAGAAAGATTTAAGGCAAGGAGTGCAGGCTGGTTAAAGACTAGAGGGCAACGAGAGTCTTGCACGCGGCTCAGAGAGAAGCCCTTCACTCCCGACCAAAGAAATTGAACACAATCACACATACAAAAAAAAAAAAGCCCCTGAACTCGTTCAGGAATCCAAACAACACCCCCGCTTTGTGAGACAAACCATCACTTCCACACATCGATTTTAAGCAGACTGCATTGTTTAATGCTGAATAGCAGCAGAATGTAGCGCTCTCAAACACGTAAGATATGGAGTCATCAAAGTCTGAGATGGGAAAATTATATGGACGTGTGTGCGAGTAAGAGAGAAAGACTCCCACAGAAGGTAATAACACTGAGGTGCAGAAAAGAGAAAGGCTGAGGGCTGAATTGATACTGTCTGAAATCCAGTAAATACTGAGGCAAAACTGTTAAGTGCCAATCCGACTACATGCTAACATCCAAACAGCTTGGATCTAAAACGTTACTCTCAAGATACACAACTGACAATTTTAATGAACTTAAGTATTTATGCCTTCCTGAGCCTGGTTTTATATTAATAATAATAATTAATAATAATATATTATAAGTTTCTTCCTGTTAAAATTGAGTTCTTCCTTCCCACAGTTGTCTAATCCTGGTTTGGCTACTAACCGTACGACCGTTGCTGTAAACTGGCATTATACAAGCAAAACACACATTCAATATTTGCATAAAACACGAGTCAAAAATGACATACTTTACATGTCAGTGACTAAAGCTTGTTTTGCTAAGCTTAAACCTTCAGGCCTCATGCTTGTAGGCAGGCGTGACAATGATATCATCTAATTGTCGGTATCTGGCTGTCTGCGAGTATTTGTGCTGTCTCTTATAAAACTGGGAAAATATTCTTTGCAGAACATTTGTAAGTAAAATTAATGTATGTATAAAGTACTTTGCTAAATTGACTTAGCAAGTTTCAATGACTAACATTAGGGCCACCCTGTTAAATGAAATGCTCCTGGTAAATACTCGACATTCAACCCCAAATTGCTCCTAATAGCAGGACAGTTTCTTTCCTTCTTGGGAGGTTGACTTTGTTCTTTATTCCGATCCCTGTGAGCTGTTGCTACAGCAACAACAACTCTACTGGGGGTAAACAGATAAAACCAGCACAAGACATCAACCCATAATGGTACAGTCAGTCACCAAGTAAATTATAAATAAGAGTATGATACAAATAAAACTTTCTCTTGAGTTAAAAACAGCACGCAATCAAACAATCAAGAAATAATAAAACTAGCAATGAATCCTATAATTACATATTATTAATATGTATTAATTCAATAGGCTAATGAACATCAACACCATGGCAGACAGAACTGACTCTCGGTTTGCACCTCTGTGGTTGTAAATAAAGTTTTGAAATGGCGTTTGCTTTTTACAGACCTTCTTTCAAGTTGGATTGTCCCTCTGATCGATCATGCATCCTAGGTTCCTTCAGTCCCATGGGGCTCTGTCTGTGAGGCAGGTCCTTCCCTGGAGATCCCTCCTGTCAGGACAGAAAAGAGAACCTCAATTAAAATCTCACCAAGAACATGCAAATATACTTTATATTTTGATATACCAATCTATGACACATTGTTGACTTCCTAAAATTCCCTGTCATGCCTTTCGTAATCCTTACTGAAGGGGAGCGAGACAGTGGTGGGGTCAACTGGCGAGCCTCGAGGGGCTGAGTTCCTGACCAATCACGCGAAGGAGACGTTTTACGAAGTTCGCCGCTGGTATCCATTGCAGCCCCTCCCCCAGAGTCTTCACGTTCTACTTTGACACCAACGCCTGCCATGTTGACATCCCCACTGGAGTGAATGTGAAGTGCTGGAGGGCTGGGCTCAACCATTCTGTTGAAAGACAAAAAAAAATACACAATACTAGCTGTCATTTGGGTGTGGTGAGGTTTGGGCACTGGGTAATCATCTCCCAGTTCTAGATTTGGGAGTAAACATATTGACAGCAAAGAAGAAAAAATAATAGAAAATTTGTTGGTGGAAAATTTCATCCCTTGCTGTTCAGATATTTTATTTAGACTAAAGCTAAGGATGAAAAAGGAATCCTTAGAGGTGTGTCGGCAACTGGGCTAGAGACTCTTACAACTATGAAGCTTTATGAACGGTCATAGGGAAAATAAACAATATGGTCTTAAACAGAAGTTTGTAATCAAATACTGCTATAGAGCATGATTAAAGCAAAGAGGTGTAAGCTGTGAATAATAAATAATGAGTACTATGAGCATTTATACTGGATACCAACACTTATGCGATCTTTTACTCCAAAAATAATTCGGTTTAGCTGTTTCCCCATTATTTTGATTGCTGTTACTTTTACAGGCATGCACACAAATATTCTACCTCTCAGATAGCCAAACCATTTGGTTGCCATTTAGGGTTTTGGATATTCATTTTTGTTCGTTTGTTTGTTTTGTGACATTTACAAGGTTCAAGGTTCAAGGTTCTTTATTTGTCACATGCATAGTTATACAAGTATAACACACAGTGAAATGTAGCCTGACACGCTCCTCGACATGTGCAAAAATTGGGGGGGGGGGGGGGGGGGGGGGGGGGGTGTAGAGGAAGAACATTATATATATATATACAGACATATAGTATATACACTGGGTGAATGTGCAGTAGTAGCAGCAAGCAGGTGAATTCTGTACATTAATATGAATAGACATCTGACTATTTTACAGGATAGACAATATAAATATATTTAAAATTAAAGGAATTGAAATGTACATTGTGCCTTGGTTTAGAGTGTCTGGAAGAGAGTCCTGTCTCAGTCAATTATAGATGATGTGAGAGGGCGGGTGTGTGTGTTTAGGGCATGGATGGCTTGGGGATAGAAGCTCCTCTTGAGTCTCTCTGTCCTTGCCCGGAAGATGCGGAACCTTCTACCAGATTGCAGAAGTTGGAACAGTTTGTTGTCAGGATGGGACGGGTCCTTCAGTATCTGCGCTGCTCTAGTCCGGCATCTCCTGGTGTAGGTGTCCTGAAGCGGGGGGAGAGCAATCCTGCAGCAGCGTTCTGCTGTACGGATCACTCTCTGGAGAGCTTTTTGGTCCTTCACACAGCTGTTCCCAAACCACGATGTCATGTTCTGTGTGAGGATGCTCTCCACAGCGCCTGTATAGAAAATCCTGAGGATCTTTGGAGAGACCCTGAACTTCCTCAGTTGTCGTAGGTGATACAGGCGTTGCCTAGCCTTTTTGGTCTGGACCTGAATGTGGGCAGCCCATGTCAGGTCTGAGGAGATGTGGACACCAAGATACTTGAAGGACTGCACCCTCTCCACTGGAGCTCCATTGATGATGATGGGCTTGTAGTCTCTGTGCTGACCCCTTCTGAAGTCCACCACCAGCTCCTTGGTCTTGCTGACGTTCAGCTGGAGGTGGTTGTCCTGGCACCACGATGCCAGATTCTTCACTTCATCCATGTAGGCCGCCTCATCGTTGTTGGAGATGGCACCCAACACCACTGTGTCGTCAGCAAACTTCACAATGGTGTTGGAGCCATGGGTGGCCACACAGTCTGAAGTGTAGAGGGAGTAGAGCAGTGGTGAGAGGACACATCCCTGAGGGGCTCCTGTGTTGATGGTGATGCTGTTGGAGAAGCACCTGCCCACCCTCACCACCTGAGTTCTGCCAGTGAGGAAGTCCAACACCCATGCACACAGACGGCTGTTAAGTCCCAGATCCCTCAGCTTTGTGAACAGTCTGCAGGGCACTATTGTGTTAAACGCTGAACTGTAATCAACAAACAGCATTCTCACATAGTTACCCTGTTTCTTGTCCACGTGGCTGAGAGTGGTGTGTAGGACGTGGGCGATGGCATCCTCTGTGGATCTGTAGGCGAACTGCAGCGGATCTGTGGTGTCTGGGATGGAGGAGGAGATGATGTTCTTCAGCAGCCTCTCAAACACCTTCATTACTACCGAGGTCAGTGCAACTGGCCGGTAATTGTTCAGGGATGAGGGTTTGCTGTTCTTGGGCACAGGGATGATGGTGGATCTTTTGAAGCATGTGGGGACCACAGACTTCGCCAGGGACTCGTTGAAGATGTAAGTGAACACACCTGCTAGCTGGTCAGCACAGCAGCGCAGCAGACGGCCGGTGATGCCGTCTGGCCCCGCCGCTTTCCTTGTGTTCACTCTCCTCAGTGCCGCTCGTGCTGGTCACCGGTCTCTCGCTGATGACGTCACTGAGAGAGCTATTCTGCCTGACCTCCGTCAGCACCCAGTCTCTCCCAATGCTCATCAGGCACATCTTCCAAGCCCAAAAAACAGTATCAGGACAGCCTTACACATCAGTAGTACCTCACATTATCCCTCCAAGGTTTAAGTCATCATTAGTGATATCCCTAACCCTAAACCCTGACTCTAAGCAATCGAAATATGTACTTTTTTATTACTCTTGCAAGTTTTAGCATATCTAAAATTTTAAAAAGGACTTTTGTAAAAAAAAAAAAAAAAAAAAGATTCTTATTGGTTTTCCATAATTAGATACAATTTTCTTATATCCTGCTTATAACTTAATAATTGCTACAAATAGCTAAATCAATTTGTGACATTTCTGCCTCTTAAAGGAAACCCTAATTTTGAGGTGGTAAATTTAAGAAAAAAAGGTGACTCCTGAATTCAGTTTTGAGAGTTAGGTGGTGGTTGTGTTAAAGTGTGTGTGTGTGTGTGTGTGTGTGTCTCCCTCAGTTTGTGACAGTGAATAATGAGAGGTTATAGGGGAGGGAGACAGACAACGCCTCAGTGAGGAAGAAAAGCAGAAAACTGAAGAGGGGACAGGTTGAGTGAGAGAGGTTTGAACCAGAGTGAACTTGAACAAATCAACTCAGGGTTGTGTGCATACGTGTTATTTCCCAGCTCTACAGCAGGAGGAAAGAAAAACACAGCAGACAGCAGAACAAAACAAACAGAACACACAAGGGCAAAAAGTGCACATATATATAAAGAGGCAGAAAAAAAGCCATTGTTGGAGCCGGGGAACAAAGGAAGCCGAGACAATGGGGGAGAGGCTGACAAAAGCTGCCGGCCGCAGGAAACAGGCCGGATAACAATGCCAGCGGAATGTGCCGACCAACTCAGGAACATGGCAAAAAAAAAAAAAAAAAAAAAAGCGCCACCGTTCTGCGGAAAGCATAAGAATGATTAGTGCCCCCCCCCTTAGCTTGCACACTGTGTTTCCAAACAAAGCCACCTGTCTGCCAGGGTCCAAGACTCCAAACCTCAGTGATGTATATGCATGCGTTTGTGTGTCTGTGTGTGTGTTAAAAGCTACAAAACACAGGTAGAAACGTTGTGCACCGAACTCAGCTGCCATGTGGTCACAGAAGAGTTGTTTACAGTCTGATTTTAGCTCCAAGTAATGGATAGAGAGTGCAAGCATTTGCAGGAACGTCCGTGAAGTCTGTTTGTTTCCTGAGACCACAAGGACTTGTCTGCAGATAATTTACATCGCAATGCACCAACTACACTACGCTCCAGGTGGCAGATTTCAAAGAACTATAACAGGAATGAATAATTGGCCGTCAGCTGTACATGTCTGCAACGGAGCATAATTCAGGTGAAAAACTCAATGGGTGCAGTTGCTCTGCAGTTGGTACTAGTCCAGCAAGCAACATCAAGCAAATCTAAGGTTATTATGTGGTGCAAGAATAACCACAGAAAACTATTGAGATACTTTGTCTACTGGAATAATGTTTAATTTAATCTTCAAGGAAATTGGCAGAATAAACAGCTAAACACTTGAATTTCACTCACTACTATGAGCTTGTTTTTTTAGGAAATCCTGACAACTAGATTAAAAAATCTTTAAAGATTGATATTTGTCTTGAACTATAAATTCAGTTCGTCGATAATAAATGCCACACTTAATTTTCTCAGCAGATGACGTGGATTCCTATGACCTCTTGAGAAAGGATAATGACAACTTGGACCAACTTGAAGAGGGCGATTTCCCTTTGCAATTCTACAAAGGCTGCAGTGTCAACCCTGTAAAGTGAGACACGTCCCTTACTTACCTGATGAGTTTAATGAACATATTTTGTTTATGAGAACACCAGCTCAACAGTTACGCGGCCCTCTGGGAACACTCCCGAAGCTCCTGACCGGCCCCTCTGCCAACGCCAAGCAACATGAAAAACACATTTCCAGCACTCTAGGAAACACACAGTAATGTTGTTGGTGCATTTTAACACAAACCCACCTGCCTGGCTAGGCTCTAAACCTGTGTGAATGTGTGTGCATTTATGACTCGTTGTGTTTTCAAATCACAAAGCGATAAAAGAAAATCTAATTTACACAGCTGACGGTAACTAAAAAGCACAATAAACACACCTGCAAGCAGGGGGATCACCAGCAATTGAACTCATTTGTTGCCACCTGTTTGATTACTCTTGGTTTAAAGATGATATCACACTCATTTGTATATCTTTCATATTAAAAAAACAACAACTGTGATTTTGCTTCAAATTTTACTGCCTGATTGCATTTGTTATCTGTCATATTTGGGAAAAGTTACCATCAGCTTCAAACCCACAACACTGTTCATCAGCCTAATCCTGTCTGACGTCTGCTTTCAGCTGTGGTGTGTAGTTTTGTAGGGTGTTGGGAAGGAACGATTGTGGAGGGATGGAGGTGGGAAACTGTTATAAGCGAAAACCGCAGCAGTCACCGTCCATGTGGTGGCGAGGGGCTGATTGCCGGAAGAGAGGGGGTTGGAGGGTTGTGCGCAGGCGGCAGTGGCAACATACCGAGCTGAGTCCCACACAGCAAGTTATTCCTGGGTCTTCCCTTCACGTTCCACAGGGGCTGGACCGCAGAGCTGCCACAGGTG